GGGAAAAGGGTGTCCAGAATGAGGTCTTAAGTTCCCTTGCTTCTTCTCCAAAACAGTAGAAGCAGGGGCTGGAGCGATAGCACAGCGGGTAGGGCATTTGCCTTGCACATGGCTGACCCGGGTTCGATTCCCAGCATCCCAGATGGTCCCCCAAGCACCGCCAGGAGTAATTCCTGAGTGCAGAGCCAGGAGTCACCCCTGTGCATCGCCGGCTGTGACCTCCCCAAACAAAAAACAGTAGAAGCAAACAGATATCCTCAGAGACTCCCCAAACTGACATGCAGAAGACAGTCTACGCCTAGCAGCTCTGATTAATGATGCCCCCAAGTGACCCTGGCCCCAGGCCCTAAAAGAAAGGCAACAAGTTTCCCAGCCTCCCTCTGGGAGCCACTGACACTTGACCTAGCAAGAAGGAGGGAAATACACAGCCTTCCTCGTGTGAATTGAGTGACTGGACCCATTAGGACCAGTACAGACTCCCCCATCCAAGTAAGAACACTCTGAAGCCCAGAGGTCAGAGATACCATTCACTTAGTTATTTTCTGGTTTCTTTTTTGGTCTTTTTTGGGGGGGACGGTGCGCATACCAGATGGTGCTCAGGGGTTACTCCTGATATCACTCCTAGTGGTGCTCGAGAGACCATATGGGATGACGGGGATCGAACCCGGGTCGACCACGTACAAGGTAAGTGCCCTACCTTCTGTACTATTACTCTGGCCCCCCCCCTTTTTTTATTTGTGAGCGAAACGGTGCTCAGGGCTGACTCCTGGTCCTATGCTCAGGGATAACTCCTGGCAGGGCTGGAGGACCATATGGGGTGCCGGAGATTGAACCCCGATTCAGCTGGATTAGGGCCCTGATCAGCTCCTGCGCCAGCATTTGAACTTGGATGGCAGCCCAGCACCAAGGCACTCAGTCGTCAGGTAAGAGCCGCTTTGCAGAAGCTGCTCTTGCCTTGCCATATGTACGTAAGGCAAGTGCCTTACCTGTTGTACTATCTCCCCAGCTCCTCACTCATTCATTTGCCTGCTCAAGGAAATCTGCCATCCCGCTCCGTACAAAGCAGTCTGGGAAGTGGACTAATTGTCTCCAATCAGAGTCTGCTCTCAAACTAGAAAGTAGGGGTGAGTCGCAGGGTGTGTGTGTCGGAGTATGTGTGTGGGGGGACACATACAAACTAAAGTCTTTTGTTTCCATTTGTTTTCTCCAAGGGGTGTTTCTTCCCAACCTAGGTGAGAAGCAGCAAAAAATATTTTTCTTAAGATAGTTTTTCAAGACCCAATGCCAAGAATTTCCCCAAGACCTGCATGTTCTGAGTTAATATTCAACTTCACAGGGCCAGGTGCAGTGATAGTACAGGGGCGTTTGCCTTGCATACAGATGACTTGAGTTTGATTCCCCAAATCCCATATGATCCCCCAAGCATTGCCTGGAGTAATCCCTAAATGCAGAACCAGGAGTAACCCCTGAACATCACCAGGCTTGCCCCTGAACAAACAAAAATCTAACATCTCCTCTCAAGGTTTGTCCTTAGCTGGCCCTAAATAAGGAACTGTGGAAGGTCTTTTGTCATTTGGCTCCTTCCAGAACTTTCCCCACTTGGAGAGGAAGCAACTTCCAAACTATCTTACATGGTCCCATGCCCAGACAATTACACTCTTCATAACAATAACATTTATGAAGACTGCCCACACCTAGCACCATAGCTAGAGCCAGGTCACTGCCATCCCTTATTTGTTGAAACCCTTGTCCTGCTAGCTCTGCGAAGTCATTTTAGATGACCTCATTTCGGAGTTAAGAAACCGAGACCAGAGATAGAAAATCACTGGCCCAAGGTCACGGGGTTAGGAGGTGACAGAGCTGGGAAAGGAAATCAGAAGTCCCTGGTGTAGGCCCAAACCCCAGAGAGTATGAAGGTCCCCGGAGCTCTGGGCCGCTTCTAATTGCTCCCCAGCCCTCCCAAAGGAGTAGCCTACCTAGGTACCTTCAGTGCCACTTTTTTCTGGTTTTGGGGGTCACACCTGGAAATGCTCGAGGGTTACTCCTGGCTCTGTGCTCAGAAGTCACTCCTGGTGGTTCTCGGGGGACCATATATACTATGCAAGGCCAAAGTCCTCCCCTCTGTGATATTATAACGGCCCCCTCTTCAGCATCACTTGGAACTCCGATGTTCCCTGAATCTAATGTAAGACGAAAGGAGCTCTGACGTGAGACCAGAGAGATAGTATAGAGGGGAGGGCACTTGCCTAGCATGCAGCCGACCTGGGTCTGATCCCCGGCATCCCCTTTGGTCCCATGAGCCCACCAGGAATGATCCCTGAGCACAGAGCCAAGAGTAAATCCTGGGCACCGCCGGGTAGGGCCCCAAACTGAAAATCTGACACAGTCCTTGGAAGGTAATCAACAATAGTGACAACCATTGCGGCGGCGGGCATCTCCAGAAGACCCGCCTAGGCACCAAGATCACAAAGAAATGGGTTGAAGGAGGTTGGGCACGGGCCAAGGAGATAGCTCAATGGGTGGGGAGAACCAAGAGGAACCTCTAAGCACTGAGAAGTAGCCCCTGAGCAGCACCAGATACAGCCACAAAGACAAAATACATAGCTATGTTCTCATATAACGGGGTTTTTTGGGGCTGGAGCGGTAGCACAGTGGGTAGGGCATTTGCCTTTCACACGGCCAAGCCAGGTTTGAATCCCAGCATCCCATATGGCCCCTCCAAGCACTGCCAGGAGTAGTTCCTGAATGCAGAGCCAGGAGTAACCCTTGAGCATTGCAGGGTGTGACCCAAAAAGCAATAATAATAATAATAATAATAATAATGGGGCATTTCTTGGCCCTAAGCAGAGCCCGACTTCCTATATTCAGAACGCCATTTCCCTGCTCTTGGTCCTGATCCTGTCTCCAAGACAGAATTCTCAAGGAGAAAAAGACGGGCAGAAAAGACTAACCCTGCATCTCAGAAGGCCGGAAACGGACACCCAGGTGCCAGGCCAGGTTTTGCGGTTGCCGGTGTTTCGGCAGATGAACCCCTCAGAGCCATTGCAGGAAGCCCAAGTGGACCCGGCAAAGCTTTAAAGGAAACATCTGCAGCTCCAGAGCTGAGCTTCCCGAGGGAGCTAGTAAATATTTGATGGGACCTTCCAGATCACCCTGACTCGGGTGACCCTGTGACATTTCAGAACACTAGGCTGCGGACTCGGGGAGAGAAGCCGGTGGCTGCAATGCTCAGTGCATGGAAAGGACCCACACGGGTGAGTCCAGTCCTACTGCAGAGAAATGGGCCCTTTCGGCTGCAAGTCAAGTCAGTTCACGAGCCAGCTGAGCAACCAAGAGGCGTGTGACTTGACAAACTGCCCTTCCTGGCTGCTGGGCTAAGCTTCAGAGGAGCTGAACCCCTTGCGCTTGTCCTTACCTGCTGTTGCCCCAATCCCCAGCGAAGGAGAAGATAAATGAATCGATCGTAATGGTGGGGGGGGGGGTCAGCTCAAAGGGCTGGAGCATGTGCTATCATGTGGAACCCTAGGTCCAGTACCCAGCACCACACAGTCTCCCCACCCCCGGGAGTGACTCCCGAGCACTGTACTGACAACAGTTCCCAGGCATCCTGTGCAATCAGGGGGTCCCCAATCCCATGGTGTTCTGTTCACAACTCAGTGCTGATGCCCGGAATTAATCCCCTGCCCCTCCTCATTAATTTCTAAGCTGCCGTGGCCAGCTTCTCCCCTGTGGCCTGTCCCCACCCTGGGCTCTCCCAGTGCCCAAATCTCTACTCCCCAGAAGTGTTTTGCAGAGAACTTGGCTAATGAGGGCTTCCCGCAGGAACAAAGTCGCACACGGCTGCCCTGTCACACTGCCACAGCCAGACCTCCCTGGCACCCGCCGCTGCCAGTAGTACACCCTGCAAATGATTGTGCAGATCTGAAACCTCTCTCTCTCTCTCTCTCTCTCTCTCTCTCTCTCTCTCTCTCTCTCTCTCTCTCCCTCTCCCTCTCCCTCTCCCTCTCCCTCTCTCCTCCCCCCTCCCCCCCCCCCCCCCCCGTTAGGATTGGGATCCCGGACAAGCCAGTAGCTTGAATCAGCTGCTCATGCTCCCTCTAGCACATACAACGCTCAGGGCCGCAGCAACCCCGCAGCCGCCCCACGCCAGGCAAACACCGGAGTGAGCCGCTGCATTACACTCGCCGGCTGTGGCCGCGCAGTCCAGATGCCCGTGTGGGGACTTCATCGGGGGCTCACAACCACACAACCGGAGGCTTTGGCTCAAGAGCTATTGGCTCCCTTCTGCTCAGCCCCTCCGCAGCCCCACACACCGGAGGACGAGGACCGACTGTCACGAGGCGCCGGGAGTCCCTGAGCAGGGGCCAACTGGAGGAGCCAAGAGTGACCGGAAGTCACCCTCCTGACCCTGGAAGCACAGCGCCTCCCGCTCGGGGGTCCTTGGGGCTTAGTCCGTCCCCACAGTTCGCCAACAGCCGCGCTAGTGCCCACGGGGGGTGGAGGGACCCTGCAGTTCCAGTCGATCCGGGCTTCTGTGCCACCCCCGTCTGCACCCCCTGGCGCCTCCCCGGCTCTCTGCTATTTGTGCGTCTCCTTCGAGCTCTCCAAACTTTTCCAGGTCTCCGGGACCACCCCAGGCAGCGGCTAGGGTTCCCCACGCCCAAGCAAGTCCGTGGTCCCCCGAGTGCCGCGCGTGGCGCCCACCCCACCAGCGACCCCGCGCCCCGCGGGGCGGTGCTGGCCGTGCGCCAGCAGAGTGGGTTTGGCGTCGCGCTCTCGGAGCGCCCCTCGGGACCCCTGCGCGGCGGGAGGCCAGGGGTCGCTCCCTCCCGGGACCGGCCGGCGGGTGCGCCGGAGGCCGGGCGCGTGGACAGCGCCCAGGGTGCTGAATCAGGCGCGGCGGGAGGCGCGCGCGGGCCGGGCGCGGGGCCGCGGGGGCCGCGGGGAGCGAGGCGGCGGGCGCGGGGTCCCGAGCGCGTGCCCCGGAGGCGCGGCCTTACCTGGCCGAAGGCGGAGCTGAGCATGGGGCGCAGCTGGTGGAGGAACGGGTCCGCCTCGGACGCGGCGCCGGGAGCCGAGTCCCCGCGAGCCGGGGCGCGCGGCGAGCCCCGGAGGCCGAGCGCCGGGGACGGCGCCCGTTCCTCCCCGTCCCGCCCGCGGACCCGCGGCAGCGGCGACGGCGGCGGAGGTCGGGGCGCCGCGGCGGGCAGCGCCTCCCGGGGCCTGCAGTGCGCGGGGGGCAGCCCGCGGCGGCGCCCCCGCGCGCCCTCCTCCCGCGGCGCGGGCCGGCACAGGGGCCTCCGCGAACTGGGGTCCCCGGACGGCGGCGGCGTGCCCGGGCACGGGTCGGGCAGCCGGCGGCCGGGCAGCAGCCCGGGCTCCCGGGCCGGGCCGTGGCGGGGCGCCCGGCTGCCCCCGCTCGCCGCCGCCGCCTTCAGCAGCGACGTCTTGGACTCGCTCTTGGCGATGTGCGAGCTCATCGCGGCGCGGCCCGCGCTCGCATGGCCCGGCGGGGGCGGCGCGGGGCGGCGCGGCGCGGGGCCCCCGGCGGGCAGGTTGCTGGGCGCCCGGCGGGAGCCCAGCCCGAGGACGCGCTGCAGGCGGGCGCCGTCCCCCGGCCGCTTCAGTGCGGCCCCGTCGCCGCCGCCCATGTGACAGCGCAGCCTCGGCGCCCGGAGCCCCGAGCTCCCCGGCGGCTGGCGGCGCGGCTCTGGGCTGCGGCGGGAGGGTGCGCCGCGTCCCCCCGAGCGCCCACCCCCGGCTCGGGCCGCCAGGTACCGCCGCGCCCCGCCCCGCGCCCCGCCCCGCGCGCGGGGAGCCCCGGTTCCGAGCGGCCCCTGGCGGCGGAGGGGCCGCTGCGGCGCGGAGCCGCGAGCGCGCCGGGGAAGGGGCTCGGCACCCGGGGGGCCCTCGCGAGCCCGGACCCCGAGCCCCGGCAGCTCGGACTGCCGAGCGGGCAGGCGGGCGGGCTAGGCTGGCGGCTGCCAAGCCCAGGGGGGCAGTGAACCGAAGCCGGGGGGCGCAGACACGCTGGCCTGCTTCGGACAACCGGCCGCCAGACCGGCCGGGTGGCAGGCGCCAGGCCGGGGCTTCTCAGCGTTCCCCGGCCCACGGTGGCGCGCGGGGCTGGCCCCTTGGCAAACCACCCCCACACTCCTCAGTTCTCTGGACGGAGACAGCAGGGGACGTCTGGGGAACTTTGCAGGGAGGGTCTGGTGATGATGGAGTCCCAGGTAGGACCCGTTGAGGGCCCTGCCTGCAGGTCCCGGCCCTGGTTCCCCGCTTCCAGCCCACCCTCGGAGGCGGTAGAGAAGTTCCTGCTCTTGGCTCAGGGGCCTGGGCGGAATCTCAGATCTCAGCATCTCTCTCTACCTGCCTGGGTCTGGGTTATCCACCTCTCTGAACCTGATTTTCTTCGATATAAAGTACAGATAATCATCAGAAAAAAACTCTGGGTAACGCTGGGTGACATCACGCACTTCTAACGGGCCGAACCCAGCCTGGGGAGGACGGCCCACGTGCCTCAGGGATGTCTTAGGATCCTCCATCTACTATACTTGCTTAGCTGGTTCCTTGGGATTCGAGGACTTGAGGATTTGAGGGGGACTTGTTTTGGTCCTTGCCATGCTTGCATGAGAATCAGGGAGATCTGGTCACACCTTATTCTCAGTGGAATAGTTGTGGACGAGTGCCAATTTGCTGCATTCCCCTCACTGTTTCCGGGGGCTCATCCTCGCAAGGAACTCAGGAAGACAAGATGCGACCTGGAGTGTTTTGCATGCAGGAGACCTGGCTTTGATGCCTGGCGTCACATGGTCTCCCAGGCACCACCAGGAGGGCCCCTTCCCCAAAAGCATTAAGCTAAGAATAGACCCCAAACACTTGGCGGTGGAGTGGGGGTGGGGTTGATGGTCCAAAAACAAAACAAGTGAAAACCAGAATGGGGGATAGAAGCGACTGTGAAGGGGTCAATTAATGTGAAATATGGACAGTGCTCCCCCAGCTGACATGCTGAGGTCACGTTGGTTCCTGGTGTCCCAACAGGCTGGGGGTGGCAGGCCTGAAACCTTCGGGCAGTGCCCATCCTGGGCAAAGCGTGGAAAGGGTCCACCCTGGCCGAGTTTGGGGTCAGTCCTGCCCTGCTTATCCCAGCTCTCAGAATAATCAGTATTTGGCAGGATTACACAGAGTTGCTCTCTATGAAATTGCATGGGATAAAGTCTCTTATCAGAACCCCTCAGGAGCTGCTGAGAAACCGGAGGGCACAGGTAGGCTAAATGCCCCAGTGCCACTCTGAAATCTTCCTGAAACGCCCCACCCTCTTTTCTGAGCAAGACCTCCTCCCCTTTGAGAAGCAGCTGGTTCCTCCCTCAGATTCTTCACCTTGGCTTTATGGGTTAGGGGCCACACTGAGTGGTGCTCAGGGACTATTCCCAGCTCTGTGCTTGGAGATCAAAACAGAGTTGACCGAATCCAAGGCTGGCCCTTAACCCCTGTGCTGTCTCTCTCTGGTACCTCACCACTAGTTTTTTATTTTTTTATTTTTATTTTTTTTGCTTTTTGGGTCACACCTGGCCATGCACAGGGGTTATTCCTGGCTCTGCACTCAGGAATTACTCCTGTCGGTGCTCAGGGACCATATGGGATGCTGGGAATCGAACCCAGGTCGGCCATGTGCAAGGCAAACGCCTTACCTACTGTGCTATTGTTCCAGCCCCTTGTTTTTGTTTTTGTTTTGCTTTTTGGTTCACACCCAGCGATGCACAGGGGTTACTCCTGGCTCAGGCACTCAGAAATTACTCCTGGTGGTGTTTGGGGGACCATATCCGACGCTGGGAATCGAACCTGGGTTGGTTGCATGTAAGGCAAATGCTCTACCCACTGTGCTATGGCTTCAGCCCCTCACCACTAGTTCCTAGTGAAATCGAATCTAAAGTTTTGTTTTGTTTTGTTTTCTGGAGCCAGTGGAAGTAACGCTTGTCCTCGGATCCTGGGTAATCCTGGAATTAGGCCAGGGTCCCATGTCATTTGGAAATTCTGTTTATTTGGCCCCTGCTTAGCAGATATTTCTAGAACCAGGCATTGTGGGGCCAGAGCGATAGTATAGTGGATAAGGTGCTTGTCTTGCACAAGCACCCCATATGGTCCCCTGAGTACCACTAGGAACAATCCTTGAGTAAATCTGGGAGCAACTGAGTATAACTGGGTGAGTGACCCGGAAATAAAAAGCAAACCCAAACAAAACAAAACAACAGAACCAGGCACTGTGTTAGGTTTCTGGGATACAAAGGCTCATTCATTCTTTCCACAACTGGTGGAGGGCTCCATGTTTGCCCTGAGGGTTCTAGGTCCTTTTGAACCTCCCCTTTCCCTCTCCCCCCTCCCTGCCCTAGAGAACCAAAAAGAAGGTTCTCTGCTGCAACCTGTGAATGACTGTTTCCAAGTGTGGAAAACTAACGGTGACAAATGTGTGGCATTTAATGCTGGGAAAGAAATAAATCAGGTAGGAGAAACTCTCGAAAGTAGGAGGCAGTTACTTTAGAGAAGAAGGGGGGTGGGCCTCTCTGGAAGAGACTTTTTTTGTGGGGGCTGGGTGGGGAGGCCATGCTCAGGAGTTCCTCCTGACTCTGCACTCAGTGCTCAGGGGACCAGCTTCGAACCAGGGTCAGCCGCGTGCAAAGCAAACTCTTTACCCACTTTCTCTCCTACGGCTCCAGTCCCGACCCACTCAGGTATAAGTAGAGAAAATGAAGCTGGAAATGGTTTACACAGGAGCAGAACCCAGACGGGAGCCAGCGAAGGCGCTGAAGGTGACATTTGAGCTGCGTTTTGAAGAAGTGAAATTCCACCACTGAGGAATTTAATGCTGACAGAGGGAGTGGTGTGAGTGGGGGCTGTGGAGGGGGGTCCTTTAGTGATTAGGGGGGTGTGAAGGCTGGGAGGCCGGCCTGGAGGGGGGCGTAGAACTTCACTGCAGAGAGAGAGTCAGTCAATCGTCTGGAGTTTCTCCTTTATTCAAGAGACCAGAGTGTCCTTGAAGGTTGTCTGAGTGTGCCCCGTGTTTCAGAAATCCTGCCAGGTGTACTGTGAAGCTGACCCCAGGCCAGCGAGGGCCAGACCAATTTAGAAATCAGGTTCATTCACTTCACACGAAAAAATGATTGCATGCCCACGGCGGGCTAGGCTTTGAAAAAAGAGCAGTAAATACGTAAACATCGTGCTTTTCTGTGAGGATTCTAAGTCTGGTGGGGAGGCAAAAAAGACTAAATGTAGAGGCTGAGTCAGATTCAGGAAATATTTCAGAAATACCATCATCAAGACACGGAAAGTTCTGGAGTGGTAAATGAGACTGATTTGCTTCTCTGATTGTGAGATATAATTGGAATACGGTTACTGCAAATCACCCTGTCACACAGGAATGATTTTTGTCACGCTCCCTCCCTATACCTTTCCAGCTTTGAATGCATTTTCACATAAAGTATCTCACTTGCTGTACAAACTGCACTTCTTAAATGATTATATGTCCTTGGGGTTGGAGAGATAGTACAGTGGGGAGGGCACTTGCCTTGCACAGAGCTGACCCAGGCTCGATCCCCGGCATCCCATAATATGATGCCCCAAGCACCATCAGGAGTAATTCCTGAGCATAGCTGGGTGTGAATCAAAACTCATCATCATCATCATCATCATCATCATCATCACCATCATCTATTTTTGCTGTCATAGTATTCAACTGTCTCATATCTAATCTTCAGTGAACGTTATGCAAAAGAAGAGCTGGTATGGAGGGTTAAAGGGACATCTTGTCCACCAAGTCACATAAGAAGATGGTTCTGATACTAAGGGTCTATTCCTGGCTCGGCACTCAGGAGAATTACTTCTGGCAGTTCTTGGGGGACTGTATGGAATGCCAGGGATTGAACCCGGGTCGATCGCCTGCAAGGCAAATGCCCTACCTGCTATACTATCACTTTGGCCCTTATTTCTCATTTTCTAAGGGTAGCTATTAAGAGTACTAAGGCAGGGTTAAGGCAAAAGTCTCTTTTTTTCCCTGGTGCTAGGATTCAACCCAGGACCTTATACATGTCAGGCAAATGTTCTACCATTGGCCACTGAACCGCTCTCCTCCCCACCACCCCCACTCCAGGGGCAGAAACCTTCCCACGTAAATGATCTTTCATTTAGCGTATTTTTTTGGGTAAGGCCACGTCCCCTTAGCAAATGCCTTTAAAAACTGCTCTTGGGGCCGAAGAGATAGTACCGCAGAGAGGGCGTTTACCTTGCACACGGCCAACCCAGGTTCGATCCCCAGCATCCCATATGGTCCCCCACGCGCTGCCAGGAGTGATTCCTGAGTGTAGAACAGTGTAGAATGAGGAACAACCCCTGAGCACCGCGCTGAGTGTGGCCCCAAAAGCAAAACAAACAAACAAATAAATGAAAAACCCTGCTCTTTCTGGATCCCGACCAAGACTCTATCTATGACAGAGCTTGGGAAAGGTTGGGGAGAATTTGCACAGTGGAGCTTGAATTAATTCTCCCTGACGTTTCTTGTCTAGTGCGTTCCTTTCCACTATTGTCAAAATCAAATCCTGCACTAATCTTCTCCTTGTTTGCTGATGACCAAATCTCTGTTAGGTTTCGGAAAGCTGGGATTACAGAATGTTCATATGGCTTTAAATCCTTTGTGGTGATTGGGGAACTCAGAA